GGCTAACTAGCTTCCTCTTCCAAGTTGTAGTAGTAGCAGTGTCCACTTATGCTAGGCTAACTAGCTTCCTCTTCCAAGTTGTAGTAGTAGCAGTGTCCACTTATGCTAGGCTAACTAGCTTCCACTTTCAAGTTGTAGTAGCAGCAGTGTCCACTTATGCTAGGCTAACTAGCTTCCACTTCCAAGTTGTAGTAGTAGCAGTGTCCACTTATGCTAGGCTAACTAGCTTCCACTTTCTGAGGGGAAGTACTAGCGGCTTCCACTCAAGCTTAGTCAATTAGCTTTCACTTTGTACTTGAAACTTAAAACTAAAATATGTCCACAAATGTTTTCATCCCTTCTTATCCATTAGCTGCCGTACTATACTGTAGTTTATTTCCTTACACAAAGAGAATTTGAGTTTCTGTTTGACATTAATTGTATTCTAGACCACCTGATGCATTTTCTTCTAGTTTATGGTGGACTCTGGAGGAAAGTCTGAGGTTTCTTGGTTGAAGTTAATAAACAATAAACAGAAAAAGTAATATATACTGCATAGTCACAGTCATTTATCTTCTGAACAGTATGTTCGGGCTGGTGAGCGCACTGCGTGCATAAAGAAAATAGAAAGCAGTCCACGACTTGTCCTACAGTCTGCTTCTTATATAATAGTAATAATCACTGTGGTGAAATTCAGATGCCAGCGCTGCTGACACTTATCTGCCAAAGCGTCAGCGTTTGAATCTTAATTTTTTTGAATGTTATTTATAGGCTTTAAAAAGATTTGCATGCAAGCACTCGCAGAAAGTGCCTCACTGGCACATTTTACATCTCTGCGTTACTGTAAACGTCCAAAACATCAGGATCGCCTTGATTTCAAGTTTTGATTTGATGACTGCTGGTGCTGGCTGATGTGACACTTAAAGCGGGGTGAAGCGCCGTGTGTACACACGGCCAGGCTGTGGGCTGAAACGGTGGAAATGGTTTCGCCAGCTCGGTGTCTTTCCTGTCGGCGTCTCCGGCCTTCAGTACATTGTTTGATGCAGACTAAGCTGCATGGCGACAGAGGCTTTTTGAGTGCCAGGTTCCCATTCACACTGATCACACATTAGACTGATCAAATCAGACTCCAGGCCTGCTTCCTGACTAACTCAATTTACTCTCATACGCTTCCCTTTTCACGCTGAGCACACGCAGACACACACACACACAGAGATACCTGGTTGTGCGCTGAAACATGTGCACACAAACAGAAAGCCAACAGAGAGCGGGGCAGTACCCATTGAGCTCTAATGAAAAGCAGAAAAAGCCGTTACCTTGGCAACTGCCAGCATACATCTTCGGGAGGACCCAGATTTCCCGTCTGGCTGCGCTCGTATTGTTTTGGTTCTCTTTTGATAGCCGCAGCATCCCTAGACGGATTATCTCACAGCTGGGAAGAATTTATGCTCAATCATCGTGAATTAAACAACACCGTAGACGGGAAGTCGCCGCACTGAAAACGCCAGGTCATGGATTGAGCACCCCCCCAAAAAACCTCCACAGAATACCAGAAGAAAACATAAACTTAATCAGAGATCTGGGCCATTTTTGTCTTGTTCCTCTGTAGATTCCCACTACGGGAAGACCAGGTGACTTATCCACGTCACCCTCTAACATACAAAGGAGTGTAGTCGACCGTGTTTATTAAGACAGAACATCGAGAGAAAAACGTTTTTAAACCTGCACCACAAGGTTTAGATGGAGACGGATCTCCCATCAAGGCTCTAAAACCAGAGTGTTGACCTTTTTCTTTTTTGAAGGATGAGTGTATTTCCTGGAAAACAGGGTTGAACCCCCACAGTACAGCTTATTCCTGTAAGTCATACGTGTCTGGAACGTTTTTGATTTTGCAAAGCATTCGGGTCCACACCGTGCTCATCATTATCATTCTCATCACCATCACCGTAATCAGATTGTTATAATTATTATAATTGCCCGTGCAGTGTTTGTTATCTTTGTATGGTGGTACACAAATCAGACCCCCATGTGATTTCTCAGCATTCGAATATGCGAGGGGTGTTGGAGGAGGGGCACAGTTACCTTTTTTCAGAGTCTGGTGGAGATTCTGGATCTAATTTTACCAAACATCCATGGCAAACATCCACAATGACAGTAACCGGACCCATTTACTCAGCCATTTTCTTTGCTGGAAAGGAAAGATATTTCGGTGCACCAATCAGACTACATCATAGGCTGTATATAAGGGGTGGACGTAGTCATCTTGACGCCACCCATTGGTTTGTGCCATTTTTAAGGCCTTGAGTTCGGCCGTCGCCATCTTGGATTACGGCCGTTGCCATGTTTGTTATTTTTTTTTGCAACCAATGATCAGAATTTACCATACTTGGAATGCGGAGGAGTGAGTAGTAGGGACCTGTCAATCACAGTAAGCCCCGCCCTAAAGCATCCCCTGCTTTATGGTCTGTTTGACTCTAAATGGACCATAATCTACTAAATGAACATCATGCTGTATTGAAGAACACTTGAAACTAGAGAGTGAGACCATAAACTCATGTTTACAATGTTTACTGAGGTAATAAATCAAGAGAGAAGTAGAGTCATTTTCTCATAGACTTCTATACAACCAGAGGAGTCGCCCCCTGGTGGTCAGTAGAGAGAATGCAAGTTTAAGGCACTGCATTTACCCGGCAGTACTAGAGGTTACCGCCCGGACTATAGGTGCGTGAATTTGATCACTTTCAATCAAATCTGATCAAACTGGATGAAGCAGGTTTGCTGAATTCATGTGTGTTAAACTTTTAGTAATAATAATAAACAACTAAGACATTCAAAGCTTTGATTGTTGCCTACTTAGTCGAGAATATTTCATTTCTAAAGACACTTGCTTTCAAACAGGATAATGGGCCTTGCAAGGTATTGCTTTTGTATGTGTAAATCTAATACTCAAAGGTCATTATTCTCCCACTCGGTATCTACCCGATTGCCACTAATGCTTTGTTTTGTCTGGGTTTCATGACTTGGAAAAGGCTGTTGTATCCCTCTTGAATGTGTCAGGTAGTCAAATGACTCTTAACGCTCTCCGTCACTTAATAGCAGCACATTTCCTCTACTGTATGTTAGCATGCTAACACCCTGTCGCCTGCTAACATGGTGAACATGTTAAACAAGCAGCATGCTAGCTTTGATGCTGTGTGCATGTTAGCACCACTGTGCTAACATGCACGCTAGCAGCCTCACAGAGCTGCTAGCGTGGCTGTAGACTCATAATACAGGTTAGCCGGCTTCACACAGAACTTCATTTAATGCTGTTTACAGTTCAGGACTTTATTATAGTCCAGGCTTTGTTCTAACAGCTCCATTTTTAATAGTTTAGTCTCATTTTTCATCAACTTGAGTGTGTTATTGTTGTATTATTTGTGTTTGCTGTGATATGGTAATTCATGAATTCATCGTGATTCATTTAAAAGTTGTTTTTTCAACTGTAAAATGTCCCAATGTTCCTGCACATAGCTTTTAATAACAATAATGGCACATAATGTATTTTTTGTCTGATCCAAAATCTTTTTATTAGCTTGCAGCTCTTCGTACAAACTTTATTTACATGCAAACGAGCCCCCGTAGCAAAAGTCACACAGGGTACATCCCAAGTCTCTTATTTGTCATTTCCTCGCTTGAACCGGAAGTTCTTCTGCGCTGCCATGTTGACGGCCGTCCCAAAGCTCTTATTTAGGAGCGAGGAGCGAGGAGAGACCTCCGAGGAGCCATGAGCGAGGACGCACCAGAACAGCCTTCCAGGAAGTGTTTTACAGCTGACACGCCCCCTCATTGTTCATCAGTTATGTGATTGGACGCTGCAGCCGATCAGACTGATCAGATTTTTCTTCAGAGGAAAGGACGTCTCTTGTATCTTAAAACATATTTCCTCGTTTCCTCTCTCCTCGCATGGTTTCCTTGCGTCTCTCCATGCATCCCTAGTGGGAGGGACTAAGACGCAAGGAAAGGACGCAAGTGAGGGAAACACAGTCTCTGTACCGTGGACTAGCTGTGCTTCTTTTGCTGTTATTCCCCTTCTCTGGTGTTAATCCTAGTAAAGAGCACATGACAAGACAGCTAAAAATGACAGCGAATCCAGACTGTGAACCCTCGGTTCATTTTGTCTTGCTAAGCTTTTCCAGGCCCGAGGCTTTGGCTATTACCTGTCACCATCTGGCTCCCTATGCACATACGTCTGTGCATTTTGTATTACATTCCGCCTCCCGGTGAACTGCAGCGAGTGTAACTCGGAGGAGGGACAGAAACTTGAGTTTGATGACGTTATTCGGGGCTCGCTTGATTTAGAATTGCATCGCTGTACACACCAACCTTTTCCAGGCTTTACGACAAACCACTTGGTGGATGTGTGGTGTAGAACTGTCTGATTTTGAGAATCGATTATTAGTTTACGTAAGTTTACAAGCAAAACTGCAATCAAATCTCCAGTTCCAGCCAACCCATGTGTGAGGATTTGGTGCTTTTCTTTGTCTTATATGACAGTGAACTGAATATATTTGTGCTTTGAACCGTTAGTCACACAAAACACGACATTTGGAGACATTACCTTTGAACATGAATTGATTAAGAGAGAAACTGGTGTGTTTCAGCCGCTCTGGTGTTAAAGTGCCTTTAGCCTTTTAATGTAAAAAGGTTCTACATCTACCACCGGCTGCAGCCGTCTCTCATAATCCATATCCCGTAAACAAGCTAATTATCACTCTGGGTTTGGCATGCTTTACTTTCTGTTAGCTAATGCTCTGCAGGAAGATTTATTCAACGTCCCAGAAGGCTCTGCTTTTCAGACTTGCCTTGGCTCATAACTCCTGAGCTTTCATTAATGCATGAAGTGCCGGGTATCCATTTTGGAAGTTTGTATCCGATGGTTTAAATATACATGCAAAGACTTTTTTCAGCCCGAATGTGTCTGGATGTACAACAGATGGAGGCCTAAGTTCATGTCACCCTCTCTTCTTCTTCCTCCCCAGACGGCCTATAAGCCCTGGCTGTGCGCTCAATACTTCCCCACCACCCAGCTGTCCTGTCCGAGGAAGGTACCGTGCCACCAGTACTGCCTGGAGGTCCAGCAGAGCTGTCCTTTCATCCTGCCCGACAACGACGACCTGATCCACGGCGGCAGCCCCAGCTTCATCTGCACAGGTTAATACCGACCCCCCCCCAACTGCCTCAGAGAAAGAAAAACATGTCAGGGAACGGTTATCAAATGTGTGTCTCCGTATCTGCTGGTGGTGTTTCCTCCAGGAAAAAAAACAACAGGCGAGGGGCGTCTCTGAAGGCTTTCTGATGACATCTAGTGGTGCGTTTGAGCACGGCCCAGCTCAGGCGCTTTAACAACGCAGTGATGAATTGAATCTGGCCTGCGTCTCCCGGCGTTTGCTGCGGTTTTGTACAGTTGTGATCCCCGAGGACTCGGCAGCATCAGCACAGCCATGCTGGGGTTTGAGTTAAGCGACCGTGGAGACATTATTAGTGGGGGAAGGGTAGTCAGACGAGGGGGCGGAGGGGGTGGAGGGGTGGTGCATTTTCTCATTTTGCTGGACGGAGGGCAGTCTGACAGGAAGGACCCTCTCCAGCAGAGCGGCAGATAACTTTAACTCACCCCTTGCAGGATGAATAATGAAAATATATATATTAGAGATTAAATGTTAATGTGGTTTTGTTCACTTTCCTTCACTTCAGCAAAAAGTAAAAAAACAGATTTATATATCTTATAATGTAATTCAACTTTAGCCTTTTATTTATCTTCTATCTATCTCTTTATTATGAAATAGAGGAGCTGGATTATGCATTATTTTATGTTTGAATAAAATTCCACTTTGAAAATGATGAAAATGAATGAAAGTTTATGTTGGATTACAATCTCAAAACGAGATTGAGATATTGAGGGAAGGGGATTGCAGGTTTTTTGTTGTTGTTTTTTTAAAGTAAATATTAATTCAACCCCCCTCCCCACCCCAATCATTTCCACACAGCTCCCAATAAGAACAACGAGGGTCCTCTCATGTCCATAAATAAAGAGTTTTGGTCTTTTAGTCCATTGAACAACAAAAACCGTCCTCTTCACTCGCTTTCTATTTATTTGACACTTTGCTTTTATTGTATACTGAAACACTTCTCAAGACAATAGGAAATAGCACACATGAAGAGATGTGTGTATGTATATATATATATATATATATATATAACCTCGTATACAGATAAAGTATGTTAAAAGTAGCTCATAATAAAGCTGTCGAACCAAGATAAAAGTTTAAAATAAGTGAGAAACATCCCGAGTCATTTAACTGGAGTTCAGCTGAGGGTCACAGAGCGACGGACTGAGACCTGACGAGGACAAACACGCTGCGTAAAACCATTCAGTGCACGTCAGATTGTCGGTGCTGTTTTTAACCGAACTGGAGCAGGTTTTCAGGCTCCATCCAGATGCCCTACTTCTATTTGACCCTGACGTTTCTCCCGAACACGGAGCCGTATTAGATTACTATCATATTCGTTTTTATTCACATTAGAATATATACAAATGGACTTATTGTTATTATGATTCCGTCCCAGTCACCTGATGAATAGGGAAACCCCCCCCCCCCAAATAAAAAACAAATCACATTTACACACATGTTTAAAAAAAACAACCCCTCTCTCTCTCTCTCTCTCTCTCTCTCTCTCTCTCTCTCTCTCTCTCTCTCTCTCTCTCTCTCTCTCTCTCTCTCTCAGGGATCCTGGCAGATCATCGATCAGACGGCGAGGCGGAGTGCTGCGACGTCCGGTGGGACCCCAGAATGGACAGCCCCTCAGGCGGGACACTAAAAAGGACTGCCTCCTCCTGCCAGCCCGAGGGGGCCTCGGTCACCTCCGCCGCCACCCCGAGGCTGTGCAGCGGGCGACTGAAGATCTGCCTGCTGGCCCTCGTCCTCCTACACACTGTCATCATCATCTCAGCGTCCCACAACTCCACGCTGGTGGGCGTGGCGGCCATTTTCTCGCCAGAGGAGAGCGCCTCGAACGAGGAGTGAACCTTTTTGGGGTTTGAATCCGGTGCGTCGCTGGGGAGCGACGCCGGGGTTTCTTTTTTTCTTGCGGGGCTGCCGGGGGACACGTCTGGCGAGAAACACGCTGGAGATGCCTCTACGATCTCGCCCGCCAACGAACCATCAGCCACGGTGGGAGTGGGAGGGTTTTAACTGGAGCCGAAAGGTGCCGGGATTGGACGTCGAACCGAACCGAGGCGTTTCGAGAACCGCCCCCCTAAAGGACTGACCTCTTGCCACTTGAAACCTGCTCATTGTTTCTATCCCACCCAAATGTTTTCTAGCATATCGTCCCTCCCTCTCTCCCTCCCCTCCCTTCCCCCGGCGTTTCCCGTGTGTATGGACGGCACGTCGAAGGAAAAACAAACGGACATCGATGAAGTGTCGCGCACTCACTTACCTTTTTTCAATTTTTGCTGCATTTCTTTCAGGTGCCTGAATGTTGTTTTTTTACAACTGTTTTCCACTTCCTGCTCTCCATCACCTCGGCGGCATCCGGTGTGTGTGCGGTGCCGCTCGAGGGGCCCGTCGGGGGGGCCCAAGCTCATCCATCATTCACGTGGGTCTCGTTTCTCTGCAAACAGGAATGTGTGTGGTTCCTCTGTATTCTTAACGTTCAGCATTGTATTTTGTCCCGCTACACCCTTTCTCCCCCCCTTCCCCCACTACCTTAACGACGGTACATGCCTACGCGTTTTAGGACCTTAAGTGCTCTGAGACCGGCTCGCTTTCTCTTCTTCTTACTTGCCGGAGACCAAAAGAAGGCGACAGGCGTCCTCTGGTCTCTGGAGTGTTCAGTTTACCTCGTACGGTGGCGGCGCAGAGAGCCTTCAGAGTACGGGAGACTGCAGGGACACTAGAGGACGGTTGCACGATGCCAAAACACCAGGGGCCTCATTTATCAAGCGTGCGAACGTTCATTTTTAACGTGCGGAATGCAACTTTCTACTTTCAAAACAGAAGTTAGAGCGTCTTTAGTTTCAGCTTCGGCTCAGTTACGAGAGGAGCTCAAACCAAATCCGACAGACGTGATTGGACGGGGGTTTGGGGTTTAACGACTAAATTACACATTCTTTGGGAAAAGTTGGAAAAAGTCATGACGAGCCCCGATCCAATGTCGCACTACTCCTGACTGTCTGGGAAATAGAGCCTGGAGCAGATTCGGGGGCTTGTTTTCTGTAACAGCGTAGTTCCTTCGTATCGGCAGGGAAAAACAATCGTCTCTTCAGTTGTCGGTGGTCAATCGGCAACGAGCCTGGGGCCACGGTTCTTTCTAGGTTCGGACGGCTAGGAGATGTGTGATGGATTGAACCCGTCCGGCGCTCGCTTTGATCAATGAGGCCCCAGATCTTTGAGTGCCTCTACGCCCAGTGAGGCAGATGCTGGCAATGGAGCAATATAGACGGGAAGAAAACAAAAAAAGAGTCCACTTCAGTACCGTCGCCTCGTCTTTTCTGTATCGCAGAGGAGGTGAGCAGCCAGCCTCAGTCCGTTGACTCTTAAATACCCTTAGACTAGCTGATCCCCGCTATCTCTCACAGACTATAGCAAAGGGCTGTGTTAGTGTCGGCGTGTGAGGAGTGAGAGGAGTTTTCAAAGGGCTGATCCATCCAGTTTAGTTCCGTTTGTTTTATCTATTTATTTATTTTTGCCAGCTAAAGTGCACACGGACACGAGGGCAGGGCCGTGCAGGGATTAAGAACACTTTTAAAGAACTCGGGACGGGAAGCGAGAGATTAACCCGACGTTAAGATCTGATGCCGACGAGTGATATACCAAAAATAAAAAATCTCTTCACTGCAGCCGTTCTTTTGTCCTCCGCCTCTCGATGATCAGTTCGCGACAGATTTGGAGTTCTGCCTCCAAGGTGTTTCTTGGCTGTGAAAGCGTGGTACCAGTTTTTCCCTTCCCCCCTCCCCTATTATTGACCTCACCTCGGGTCAAGCGACCACCGTTGAGTTTCACTATTCACGCGTCAGAACGGGACGTCCCGTCTTGCCACCCCCCCGCACCCTCTCTGCTCGGTATTCTCCTGTGACGTGTTGTGACGACGAGAACTACATTCCCTCGAAGACAGCAGCGGATGTAATCGGCCCACACTTTTTGCGCTTCGTCCCCTCCGATCTCTAGCTGTTCACGATCTGAGTCCTGTGGATCTATGCAGATGAACCCCACCCCAAACTAACACCCACCCACCACCATCACCGCACCCCCTTGTCCTTTCTGTTGTAAATACTCCCCCCCGACCTGCCCCTCCCACTGTTGGAATCTCACTGTGTTTTCTGTTCGCCTCCTTGGTTTTTTTTTTGTCTGTTTTTTGAGATTTTTGCCGCATTTTTTTTTTTCTTCTGTTGTCTAAAGCAGTGATGTCAGTTGATGAGTAGGACTAAGTTGGATGTTAAAAAGACGAGATGAAGAGGTCTTGAGAGAAATATACAAAAAAAGAAAGAAAAAAAAAATTATAACGAAGCTTGAATTGAGAAAAAGGGTTCAAATATAGAGAAAAAAAATTATGATAAAGTTGTCATATTGTCATACTAGAGATGCTTTAGTTTGCTAATTTACTTTCTTTTTTTTCTACAAAAGACTTGGATGAAATTATTTATAAAAGTGCGTCCCACGAGTCATGATCTTTTTTGGACGTAAAACAAATACATTTATTAACATTTTGTTCAAAAGAAAATAAATATAAATTATGTTAAACATTACTGGTGTTTGTGCTTTCTTTCCACTGCGAGTGTCTTTGACTTCAATAGTAACAGAAACCCAAAGTGAAATAAAAAAAATTATGAAATATATAATCATGTGAATAAATTCAGTCAAATATAAAAGTGATCCAACAATTTGTTGAATATCTGAAGAGGCTATTAAATCTCGAGCCATTATTATGAAATGTTATGTCATCTTTTAGGATTTTATTGAATATTTATATAATTTTAGACTTTATTATGAAAAAAGAATGATGAAATTTAATTTCATTACAATAAAATAAGTTTGATTAATTTCGCAAATTATTGTTCCATTAATATATTTTGATGAATGTATTAATTTGATTATGTATTATTATTATTGAGCACTTAGGGTCTGCAGTAGTATAATCCTCATGTTCCCCAGCAGAGGGCAGTATAGGACCATATCTCAGGCCACTGTATGCCTGTCCTCCATACCGGATGTTGTTCTCACCCTCGGTGTTAAACGTCATCATCAACACGAAGAAGTTATACGTTTTCATTTTAATTTTTTTATTTAATTTTTAATCACATTTAGTATATTTTACTTTGCAGTCTTCACTACATTCCAAGTGGTATTACAGAGTAAAAAAAGACATGAAAAACTCGAAGGAAATTGTGAGAAAGGAAGGAAATGGATGAAGAGGAAGCTGCTGGTGCGTTTGCGGCCGCACGAGGGCAGAGCTTCTAAATGTGTTGCTAAATCCAACCAATCAAAACAACGAAGGCAAGGAGCACTAGCCAATCAGAGATATACAGAGGAGGGGGCGGGTCATGCATGGACGCTTTAGCGAAAAAGGAAAAATACAGTACCGCCGGGCGGAGATAAATAGGCTATGTAATTATGTCCCATGTCATTATGGTGTGTGGTCAGCTTGTTGTACCTAGGCAAAAAAAAGGTTACAAACTACCTTAATTAACCACTGATATAATTTACCTTCCGAAAAGCACCTAAGTGACACAAATCAAACACACCCACGATGTCCGTGCATCGTGCACAGGTGCATGCTAGGTCTGGCTAACTCGCTAAATGCTAAAAGACGTTAATGGAGGGTCCTCCTGCGGCCGTTTCTGCTTTCAGTTAGGAACTTTTAACTTTCGGTGAGTTGTGTGAGGACTTTTTTATTATTTATTTATTTTTTTTTTTACCGTGGATTGAGAATAGACGAGCAGAAAAACACAACAGAGCCGACTGTGGAGGTCCATTGCTCCTTGTTTATTTATTGTCGGCCATGTTTGTTTGAGTTTTGCCTCTTTTCTGGTTAATGCCTGTCAGACTATGAGGAAGGTGGTTGTATGAATGTATAACTGATAAGTTGTACGCTCAGGCCTCAAAGTGTCTTTCTATAGAGGTGGAACTTACTGCTAGTTTGGACACGAGGGCTTTGTGTTGTGATGTTGTTCCACTGGTGAGTATGTTGACATTTTTGGCAATTATGCCTTCTCTGTGATGAAAAACAAATGGCTGCCAGGGGTGTGACATGTAAGCAGTGTTTTGGCTGGAGACGGAGTTAGTGGAGCGTTTGCTGGAATAGCTTTCCATTGGGAATTCAGACAAGCAACGTCCGTGCCCTCTTTGAAAAGTGCAACATAAATAAAGGATATCAATATTATCATTATTGCTAATGCAGCATCTCTGATAAGTGCTCTGCCATCCTCCCAGACTGAGACAAAAAGCCACCAATACCTCGATGCAGCCACAAGGTGGCACCACGAGACCTGGTTCAAGAGTGTGCACTGAGGCCGGCTGCATGGATCACACGGGGACAAATGGAATACAAATAGTTTGATGGTTATATTTTTGAATTAAGCAAGTTAAAGTTGAAGGCCTTTAGAAGATGGTGTTGAATTTAAGTGGCTAAAATGCATGTAAACAGAAAAAGCGCATACAGAGTACCCAAAGAGCTGAATCAAACGATACAAATGTATGACAAACCTCACTTCAAATATCAACACAGGGCAAAATGTGTCGACATGATGGATCGACAAACACTCCGTAGAGATGCTACGGGCGAGCACGTTCACTTAAATATAATTGAAAGCATCATTTCCTGGTTCTCAGCCTGGCATTTAACATCAAACCCGTTGATCAATCTTTAACGCAGATGTCTTTCTAAACCATTCCAGTGGCGAGTCTGGCTGTTAAAGTGGTTCAACTGCAATTGTTTTCCCACCTTGTGGCATTTCACGCAGTTTCCCAAAGCAGAGCTCACCCATCTCCAACCCCCCCCCCACACTTTTTCCCTTTTTTCTTCTTCTCTCTCTTAACCACACGTCAACTGACCTGACATTTCCCCATCTCATGGGCCCTTCATGAGCTACTTCTGGAACTTCGTGGTCTTGTTATACCAAGAAATTCCTAATAGTGCATTTTCACACTGAAGACACATTCTTCACCAGGTCTTTCTGGGTATGTCCATATCCATTTATACCATTTTTGGACCCGAAATCCCCCAAAACACGTTCTCCAAAGAGCATTCTTTGCAGCTGTAGTGTTTCACCATTTTCCACTGATGTCCAGCAATCACGCAAGGGGTGCAAATCACACACAGCGACGACATGTGTACATGCAGCGCTTGTGTTGAAATCAAACAGCCAACCGCCAACCAACCAAAAAAAGCCCAGTCTGTGTTCTTGCTGTCACGCGCCCTAAATGAGTCGGAGATGCCAGCAGCATTCCTCCCACATCCCGTCCTCTCACTGCCCACTTTCCCTCCCCGGTCTGAGTTTATTTACCGAGCGAAGCTGGCATCTAACTCGGGCCGAGGCGCTTCAGCGTCTTGACACCTCATCTTACCAACCGCCCGGCACACCGTCCATCCGACGCCGGGGCTCGTCTGCATCAAAGGCCCCCGCCGCACCAGCAAGTTGGAGGGGGTGACAACAACAACAAGAGATCCCTGGCTGGGTGCATTTCTTTTACTCCGCTGCTCCTGCCTGAGGGAGAACAGCTGGGGTTCAATACTGTACATGCAGCTTTGAGTGGAGAGGCAGCTTGACACCATGGCGAGGGAGAATAATGCGTTTACATGCTGCCTTTTTGTCTGAGGGAAACGCAACAGCAAGCCGCTGTTGCTGCTACACACACACACACACACACACACACACTGCTGATGTCCAGTGACTATGCAGTCTTACACCGTGCCCCGTGGGCACCCATGTCACCGCCCATCTGTCTTGTGCATTCTTGTCGAACAAGCTCCCTGGAGCCATTGTGTTTTTCGATCCGGAAGCAGAAAACAGTGTTAAATTTCAATGCTACGAGAGGTAGGTGTGTGTGTGTGTGTGTGGGTTGCAGTTTGAAAATTCAGGGTTTAATTCGTTTGCAACACCTGCAACCTTGATTAATTTGAATTACATTAGTCGATCAA